TGTGTGTGTGTGTGTGTGTGTGCGTGTGTGTGTGTGTGTGTGACACACTGTGTGTGTGTGTGTGTGTGTGCGTGTGTGTGTGTGTGTGTGACACACTGTGTGTGTGTGTGTGTGTGTGCGTGAGTGCGTGAGTGTGTCTGTGTGTGCGAGCGAGCGCCCGTGCGTGCGTGTGTGTGTGTGTGTGTGTGTGTGTGTGTGTTGTGTGTGTATGGATTGCTGCGTATAGTATTTATGGAGGATGGGGTAAGGAGAGAGTCATCACGTAAAACATGAGCCATGTGAAAGGCACGGCGATGCCTCGATCGCAAGTGAAATATTGAGATCGGGATTTGCAACGCACACACCTACAGATGGCCGGAGTTTCTCGTGTTTGGTCGTAAAAGATCGTCCGACAAGAAATGTCTCTATAAAGATAAGAGATAAGAGATGAGAGATAAAGATAGAGATAACGCGCCGAAATGCCTGAACCCCGAACCCGTATGTTTAGCATAGGGCCATGTAAAAGGCAGAGTGTTGCCTTCCAATGGAAATACTGCGTAACTGTAATTTTAAATTTAGATTTTTTTAGATTAGATTTAGATTTTGAAATTTATTTACGCTTTCAAGGATATTACATTGTTACATATATCACAGCAAGTTTTTTTAATAAATACAGCGAGGGAGGGCGAATTGACTATACAGTCTTTAAGTCAGCCACTCCGCATCTACTATACGCATTCTGTATCTACGCCATCGGAATCAGAAGAATCTAGCAGAAACATATTGACACAGTTTCCCACACACCTCATTTATGGGTCCAATTGGTCTGCTATTTGGTTGATTAAATCCGAAATTGTTGAAGAATTAACTAATGCATTTTAACTAACAATGACACGCACATAGAAATAATATAAGTAGACAATATAGTGTCTCTATATATTTCTATGGACGCACTAAATTTGATTGATTAAGCAGATGCATGGGAAAACGCGTTTCCATTCGGGAAGTGGAGGATGCGAAGTGTTAGTACAGAAACGGTTACGTATTGCAAGAAAGAAATAGTTATCCTATATGTGTGTATTTTATTATTCCCACAGCCGCCTGGGGCTGACTAATGCAGCTAACTAGAACTCTTGACGTGATGCGGCCATGATGCCGAGGCGCGCCGGGGATTGACACTTTGTGTCTTCCAATCACAGTCTACGCCGCACCTCTCTATTATAAC